CTCTTTGCCTAGGTTCCCGTCTTCGGCTACTCAGTAAATTAGTTTTTGGTTAGATGTGTCCTTTCCAGACCATGCTACTACAAAGCTTCACAACGAGTTCTACATTTTCATAAAGCAAAGTTAACCAAAAATCAAATCAAATCCATCAATGCAATCCTTAATTACAGAGCATCCAATTAAAAATCATTCCCTGCATGTAATCAAAGAACAATCAATTTTCGTGCATATTCCAACCAATGTTCAATCAGAGCATCCAAAAAGAAATTCTCCACGCCTTCCAAACGTTTGAAATTTCAATTACAAATTAATTATCACCTCATCCATCTCCATTTACCCTTCACAAATTGATTTGATTGCATTTTAATTAAACTTGATTAAAAGCAATAACAATTTTTCTTGAGCTATAAAGTGTGACTTAGAAAAGATGTTAAATGACAATTTTCAACAATAATTTTTGGACATAATGAAATTTTTTTTGAATAAATGCCAAGAAAATATTTTGGATGGAAATTAAAAAGGTGTTGATTTGTAAATTTGATCTTCGTTATATTGGATTGGCAAAATTAAATCTATTGAACGGTTGTCAAATGAAACAATAAATGAAAAAGAAGAATGAATCTGGTTTGAGATGTTCAGAATTATCTTTCGATTTTTATACTCAAAATTTATGAATCGTAAATTGTGAATCACTTTTAAATGCCAATAAACTGATGGAAAAAATCTTAAGAAATAAATTTGTTGGAAATTTATGCGATCTATGCAAAATGGTGGATTAAAAAAAGGGTCGAAAATGGTTGATTGTTCAAGGATAATTGGATAAATATAGAAATTTGGAGAGGAAGGTTCCTTTAATGTATTCTAAATTATCCTTAAGCTACCTTTGTGCTTTCTTTGTTAAACATCAGAACAACAATTCTAGGAATATGTTTTCATGAATTTTCAAGGTCGTTTGATGAAAATCCAAGAGAGGGATGAACTTTAGTAAGGTGGAATCCACTCCTCCTAGCTTAAAAATAATTTCTTCTAAGAAGACAACTCGTGAAAAACAAAATTGTTACGGGCGCATTTTAGAATAAATCTATAGAGAGTACATACTCATCGTATGCTGTGTGCCATTTTATGCTAATTCTATCCTTGTTTAATTTAATTACATCTCGTTAGGGTATTATTGTCTTGTCTCTGCATTCGAGCAACGTTTTATTATAATTTTATATTTTTGCAGCCTATTAGGGGATGTAGACAGGTTCGCAAGATGTAGTGTTGAGATGGTGTCTTTAATTTTGACAGGCTTCAATTTTAGAATTCAGCAGATGAACAGCCCATCCATAAATATGTAAGTCATGCAATAACAGATATGTGTGGAAAGTCTGTCTGATAAATGCTTGAAAAACTTCCACTAGCTTAATAATGCATTCAGATCAGTGATTCTCAAACTGTGTGCCATGGCACACTTACCCGAATAACACAAGTCGATTAATAGAATAGAAATCCTGTGTTGAGCTGGCATGACTCTAGAATGGTGCTGGCTTCGATTTAAATCCAGCACCATGCCAGAATCACACCGGCTTGGTGTCGGATTTCTGATCGATTAACCAACTTGTGTCATTTGGGAAAGCCATAAAAGAATTTTAAGTGTACCGCGAAAAATTTGATGGCTCAGAGTTGCCATATAATTTCGTGTTCTATGACTTAAAAAAGTCCATGAAGATCATTTAGTATTCAATGGATCAAAAAAGGTTGAAAAACACTATTACAGAAGCATGCAGCGTTGGTTTGTAAGGATCGAGCAGCTAGTAATGAGTTTTTAAATCTATTTGTATTGATCCAAGTCTTTGTCAAACTCAACGAACCCAAAAACTCGAGTAAAACCTTAAAACTTTTTTGACAAATTCAAAAACAAAAATTGCCTCCATCCCGTTCCTCACAACAGAAGCCCCTGACACAATAAAAGCAAAATTTTGAGAGACAATCTTCTTGTGTGAATGTTCCGTTAAAAAAAGCAAAAGCATGAAATGCTTTTTTGATCTTGCTTTTCTTTCTGTCTTCCTCCACCCTATAAATAAATAATGACAATGATTTTACATGCTTTAAATTTTCTATGTCATTTCTCTTTTCTTATTATTATTATTATTATTGTCTTTCCGTTTCTCATTTATGAGTGTGTGCATAGCATGAAAAGTTGTAAGAAGAAGGATGAAGATGTAAAGAGAAAGAAGATGAAAATGACAAACAGAAAGATAAAGCTTGACGTACAAACGACAGAATGACAATAATGATACCCGCCGTCAAGTGCCTAGCATTAAAAGTTATCATAATGGTGTGAAAAGCGCAACACACAAGAGAACATCTTCCCTTAATCGCTTTCCGTTTACTTCTTGCTACTCTTTTTTTTTCCTCTACACATGAGATCCCTTACGGATGGAATAGAATTAGCGAATAGGTAGGCATAAAAACACAAAAGCACACACGACACCACGAGCGAGAAGCACACAAATTTATTGCCATAACTTTGATGCGTCTCTCTTACTCTTCTCCTATGACTTTAATATGATATACACACATGGTTATCAGTTACACATTTTTTTATTCCATTTTATTTATTTATGAGATTTCGACACCGATGTGACATTTGCGCGAATATTATACACACATGTATGTAATGAAATTGGATATAAACACACCAGAACTTGTTTTGTGACTCGATGCTGAAGCAACCGATGGTTTAAAAAAAGTATTCTCTGGACTTGTCGATGAGAATAGTATTAGAATGTGCTGCTGCTTGCTAATATTATTTTTTTTTTGCGTATTTCGAAGCGCATGTCTCTTCCATCACACACATCCATTCCTTTCCATAAACTTATTTTTTTTGCTCTGTTGTTTTTCTTTGAACTTTTGCCTTTTATGTAGCTTTAGTAATAACATTGAAAGTTTTTACTGTAATCTCTCACTGTTTATCGGTTACATATATCAATATCTATATGTATACATTTGAAATAAAATAATGTTCATCATATCCAGCATAAAACAAACATTGAATACTTTCCACCGACGAAAAAGCTTCAGAATAAATAATGTGTAACGTATAGATCGAGAAATGGAGATGATGAAGAGTAATGAGCTTAATACGATTAGATGAGATACGATTTACATACAGCAGTAAGCATTTACATACTCTGAGAAGAGACAAAGTTAGAGAGAGGAAAAAAATATTATTTCCATTTCCATTTTATGCATGCTTTCCTATTGCCGACAAGCGTTGACGACGATGACAAAGAGTAAAAGAATTTTTTTTTTGTGTGGATGCTAAGAAGAAAAATCATTTTATGGCTTATGACAGAAGCAATTTCATTACACAGAAAATGGGAAAAAGAAGGCTTTATGTACATCAAATTCTATATTTTCATAGAATAATTTTTTCTGGCTCTGTTTTTCCCCATTTTTTGTGATCATAATGCTTTCACAATAGCTTTTTATTGTCCTTATCCCATCCCTGCGAGAAGTTCTTCTTCTCTCCATATTTTTATTTCATTTCCAAGCCATTGAATGATAATAGCAAAGGCATGAAAAAACTATTTGTAAATTTATCTTGGGAATTGATTGATAGAGCGCTTTTTAAATTAGAATGCTGAATACTCTTGTGGGAGGTAAGGACAAGTGTTTGATGTGCTATAAAGTCGTTATTGCTGACAAATTTAAATCATAATTTATAGCCAATTGGTTAAGATGTTTAAAATGAAAGCTCCTGTTTTAATCCTTGTTAAAAGACATAGGTAGGATCAAATCCTAATAAAATCTTAAAGAATTATTTCAAGGAATCGACCAAAAAAATTTCATTTTTGCAAAATATTAAAAAATATTTAAGATTATATTAAGTTTTTTAAAAACTCAATAGCTCCCACTACCCCCCCCCCCCCCCCCCTTTTCGCAAAAATTAATGCTGGGAGTCCTTGATTTGAGTAGGTGTATTGCTCAAGAAAAGTCTTATTTAAATCGAGTCAAATCAAGGACCCCCAGTATTAAATTGTAATAAATCTCAAAACTACTCTTTTCAGCGGTCCACGAGTGAGCAATATGCTAATAGCAATTTCTCGCATGTTTGTACAAGCAAACCCCAAATTTTTTTCAACAAACACTGCAACTCCTTATAAATTTCATAAAGTCAACCAGACAAACTTAACACATACTCTCCCTCCTAATTCTCAAAATCTACAACACAACAAAATTTCACTTTTATTTGAATTAAATTTGAAGGAAAAATGCAGAAATAATAAAACAAGCCAACAAGTTCTTTTTTGCTGCCATTTTTTTGCTAATATTTAAGATTATTATAAATAAAAATAAATCAAACGACATAGCAATTGAACAATGTATACAGAAGAGGAAAGATAAGATTAGGTACATATATATGTATACACAAGAAATAATCGAGAGATGTTAGAAGAGAGTATTGAAGGTCAAATGGATGAGGAATGGCATTTCTTCGTCTTTTCATTTTGTTATATTTGCAATGTCAATCGATGATGGAATAAATACAGAACAAAAAGGAAGGAAAGAAATGAATGAGAAAATTGAGAATCGACGATGATGAGACGATTTTTATTTTTCATGAGAAGAATAATTGACGATTTTTGTGTCCCATTTTTCTTAAATTTTATTTGATGAACGATCTCGTTTTTCGGAAAATTCAAGTGAAATTTGAGATTCAAGATGACAGTCGAATCCATAAATGGAAAATAAAGAAGATTTTAGAATGAGGGGAGATTTTTTTTCGATTTGTAATAAAAACTATCGTCTCTGCTTGTTATGGTTGTAAATCTTCAGATTCTCTTTGCTAAGCTTATTGTCAAATAGAAGACAAAACCAATTTTCATTTTCTGAATTACAGAGTGAGATTTTGAATCGGGATGGGATTGATTAAGAAATTCAAATTCTAGAGCGCAAAAGTCTGGTAAAGAGATTTTAAAGAATGCGGGATGAAGTTGTACTGAGTATACTATGACTTAAGATGAGAGAGGCCTGTAACTTGATGACTCTATGTTCTGGTGTTGTTTTGAATATAACTTGCTACTGCTGCCAGAGTAAGCATGTCTAAAGGTAATTAAAAGAATTTTCAGAAATTGTTTACGGGTTCGAGTCTCAAAAAAAAGAAGTTTAAGGAAAATAAAATGTGAAACTTAAATTTGGAATTAATGAGTAATGTTGAGGAACCTCTGATAGCTTTGTTGGTGAGAACTTAGCTTTGATTCCCAATAAAGATCCATTATTCGAAAAAGAACTCTCTTTATGTGAATTCGTATGGACTGCAGGCATTAAAAAATCAAAACTCTATTAACATCTTTTGAGCTTGTCCTGTTGTCATCCAAAGCTACTAGCCACCAATCTCAAAAAATCAAAAAACTTGAACAATATAAATAAAATTCAACTTAAAAAATCACAAGCTTTAAATACTTCAACAAAAAGTAATTTCCCTAAACTAAATCGTCCGTAAACATTAAGTTCACCCATTTCCCCACTCAAACACCTGAACACAAAAATTTTATCCTCCATACAGAAATATGCAGATTTGAAAACGAACTAGATATCGCCCTACTTGAAAATGAAATCTTCTCATGAATGAGCATTTCAGCTCACAATCAAGAACCCTCGTTTAAATTCAACATTTTGTACATTTCAAGAAAAGCTTCAATTCACAATAAATTCTGGTGAGAAAAAGAAAAGATGAAAGATTCAAATCGCATGTGGATAATAAAGTTCATGCATATAATAAGTTCAATCGTTCTCATTGTTGCTCTTACAATCATGACCATCGCCCTATTTTACAACAATTGTATGTTCACGTGCATGAATGAGAGTGAGGGAGTGAATTTCCTCAAGGTTGCACAAAGAATTAGCTGAATGTGGAGCAGCAATCTTTTTTTTTCGCTCAATGGTTCAAAAAAAATTATTTTTCTGAACTTTAACATAACTTTATGCTGCCACAGTTTGCATTTTTTGCAAAAAAAAAAGGCGAAAACACTAACAAGGAAAAGAAAAATCCCTTATTGATTTAATAGTTACACTCATTGCACATTATACATTATGAAAGCATTTATGCGCACGAGTGCTACTTTTGGATTATCGTTTACTGAATGTGCAAATTTCTATCAGGGATAAATAAGTTACGGTAGACGAAAGAGAGAATGGAAAAGATCAGAGATGAGAGAAGAAGCAATTAAAGCGATATGAATATTCATTGACTCCCGAACATTAACATTTTCATCGCATAGCACAACCAAACTTAACGCAATATTGAAGTATCTCCTGAAAGCACTCAATATGAAAGTACACAAAAAGTATTGTAATGTTAATTATTCTTTTTTTTTCAGCATATATCAAAAGCTCTTCAATTTTCATCACGTAGATTTCAAGAGAGATAGTCTTGCTTTTTTTGTAATTAAAACCACTCGAATGTATGCAGCCGCTTGAACATAAAAACAAATGTTCTTTCTGTAAATACTTGTCATACTCAAGATATTTTAATCTGACATACACTTTACATCAATTCTGCTTCTTTTTAGCGCATTTTTGAAAACTTGTTTTCGAAAAGGGAGCTCAATAATACACTTTGTTCGTTCGTTCGTTCGGGCAAGCATAAAAACTTTGCAACCAGACATCGTAGAGAGCTCGGATTTGTTTTATTAGCTCCGTTACTATTGTTTATTGTCCGATCGAACAGTTAAAAGTCTTCAAGCAGTGTATTTATGCTATAATTAATGAGTTTTTGTTTTGTTTTCAGTGTAACCTGCTCAAATTTTGTTTTACCTCTATAAATTCAAATTTACCTCTATAATTTCAAATTTTTTCTAGCCGTTGTAAAATTTCAAATTTTAAAAAACCGTTAAATGATAAACTTTTTCTATATGGAAATTCATTGCAGCAAATTATTAATTATAATCAAATACTGATCGCTTCGTCAAAAATGCGCTGAAGTCCCTCGATCAATAACACGAGGACTTTTGTAATTTTTTTAATTCTTTTTATAAATATTGATCAAAAAGTTTTTTAATTCCCTTTTTTTTTTGTTTAACAAAAACAAACGATCGTCTGTATGGTTTTCATTAATTAGGATGTGATGAGAAAATAAAAAAATGTTTAATCTGCTATAAAAAAATTTAATCACATTAAGGAGATTATTTATTTTTAGGGAATTTTATGATGATTTAAAATTTTATAATTTTCAAGATTGAATTTTTGAATGAATTTACAAAATTGATATGATTTTGTGCAAATAGATGAATATGGTTTTGGGGGTTTGGACACAAATTTTGTACTATAAGTGAAAGGTTTAATTAATTAAAATTTTAGTGCACACCTACTCAGCAGTCCGTGACATGAATTGAGAAATATAAAGTGTTTCGGTTCCAAGGGATAAGTTCAAATCCCACTTTAAACTATTGGTCTAGAGCAGTGTTGTTCGAACTGTGTGCTACGGTACATTGGTGTGCCGTAGAAAATTTTGGGAAGTGACACGAGCCGTATCCTGTGTGCGACTTTGATTATGACTTACCCCTTAAGTGTGCCGTGGCTCAAAAAAATTTGGACATCACTGGTCTAGAGTTTAGTTGAATTTATATCAGTTTTTATTAAGATTCTTTAATTCAAGTGCATTATGATCGTGCTGGAAACCAACCGCTATAAGAATAAATCTACAAATACAAGCTAGTTTTTGGTAACGTACTCTCATCCTTCCTCCCAATAAACCCACGTCGAAGAAATAAGTAAATACTACAATTCAATCAAAATATTATAGCAAGACATCAATTCTAGCTCAAATTAACAAAGCCACCCAACAAATCCAATTAAAAGACATCATCAAATAATTCAAAACTGTCAATTTCTAATTGAAATTAAAAAACTTCCGCTTCGCAATGTTGTAAACTTTCTAGGAAAATGTCAATAAAAAAAGAAGATAGATCAAGTTTAACTCAACTTTATCTATACAATTATTTAATCCTCTCTCTGAGTACTTTTTTATTCTCTTCATTTCTACGGCTTAGTTCCTCAACTCAAACCATATAAAGTTCTATTCATTCATGTTGATGTGAGAAAATTTGTTTCAATTAAACTTTTTTTTTGCCTTCTTTCCGTCACAGCCTTTTATATAGTGTAAATTTCATTTCAGTTCCATTTTGACACAGCAAATGGCCTACAACGCTCTCAAATTTAATCATCATCATCAACCGATGTGAACTGTGATAAATTGACACAGCTTTATGAGCAAATTTAGTCGCTATGAATACAGATGTATATGCGGGAAATATCATGTGTGAGCATATCATATACATAATGTGATAAGGAAATTTAATAGCAAAAATGTATCAATTAGAGTTTAAGCATGTGGAAAGTCAGTCTTTTAAGGGGTAATTTATCTTATTCTACAATCGTTTGAATTTAGTTCCACGTTCTTTCTTTTTATTTTGATTATGTGAATTGGTTGAACATGAAAAAAAATCTTGTATGTGTTTAACATACACTTATGCTTATAATCTTATATAATACCACTTCCTTCATCATATAAAAATGCTCTATCTTGTTGACCTGATGGATTAAAAGTTTGATACGTTCTTTTTCATGTCTGCATGTGTTGTTATTGCAGTAAGAAGCTTAAATCTTTTTAAGATATTTTTTTGATGATACTTGAGAAATTTTTTCGAGGACTTGTGTTATTAGTTTTTATTGCTTTCCTTATGAATTGGCATGGGATATACTTTATAATTTTGAATTAAAAATTTCTATCAATTTGCTTACGATGAGAACATTAATTTATGTAAATTTATGGACTACATATATTGATTTTGGGATAATTATTCAGAGAACTATTGTTTCACTTTTTTTGGAATAAATTAGATGACGTAGGCACACTTTAATGGGCTCTGAATATTATTTTTTGAAATTTTATGTTGTGCGCATTTTTTGAATGTCTATTTTATTCCATAACATTATCAGGCCTCAAAAAATTGACCGAAATTGGGTCCAAAATCAAATGTCAATTCCGATTAGCCTTAATTTTGTGAGAAAAAGGCGAGTCTTTGTCAGTTCATTGACTTTTCTGACCTTAATGTGTCTAGGATGCGTTATCGTCGATATCATTTATCTTAGTAAACCAAAATGGCTAGAAATAATCTCATTTTAAGTAACATTCAACGAACAATCTTATTACATCATGACTCATCAGTATTCAGTCATAAGTATATAATCAAGTCAGGGGCGTAGCCAGGGGGGGCCATAGGGGGCCCGGGCCCCCCCTACGAAAATCTGATAATTGTTTTATTAAGTATTTATAGAGAAGAACCAGTTAATGTAGAGGAAGTGATGAAAGAAATGTCAAAATCAGCGCGAAAAATTAAATTTAATGTATGAATAATGAATTAAATATTTAAACTTATGAAGAATTAATATAGATTTAAGGATACAAAATAACGGTTTTTTAATTTTCAAAAATGGGCCCCCCCTTAAAAATTTTCTGGCTACGCCCCTGAATCAAGTACATAATCAATTTTATGAGGAGTTTCTCAGAAAAAGTTATCAGAATCTCAAATAAAATTCTTCTTTACTTTATATTCTGAAATAACAAAATTTTCAACCTTTTTAGGGTTGCCAACCAAAGATGTCTAGCAAAAATTTTTGATTTTTATATTTAACCCCCCTCCTCAAAGTTCTAGCTGCTTCTGTGCATTGACTTACATCATTCCATTCAAATGGGCGAACGACTTCATATTCCTCCCATCAAAAAAAAATCAACTCTTCCAAAAACTGTTTTTTCCATTAAAATATTTCTTCAATACCAAAAAAACTCCATCCACAACTTAACTATAAATAGATCACGTCCCATGATAGTATTAAAGTCTTCATATCGATATAATTTAATATAAAGATGTATGACGTCCAAAAAGAAAGAAAGGACGAACAAAAAAAAAGATAATTAATAACATACAATATAAATATAAATCCACAATAGACTTATACCATCATTGAGTGTAAATAGTAGCAGCAGCAAAAAACAATTTTAATCAGACCCACACAATATGAAGTTGTAGCGAACATTCCACATACAACAAATATTCGCACTTATAGTCTCATGTGAATTATTTATTGTGTCAATATTGATAAACATATGAACCTGTATCCGTAGATATATCTTGTATCCAATACAGCAAAAAAAAATATAACGAACCGAGAGTGGGTGTTGATATATAGGAACTGTCGTCAAACAGTTGGAATGAGTTAAAGGTAAACGTAAATATGTAAACAATTTCGAACATTTCCTTTTGTAGACTAACAAGTAGCAACAATAACACACTGAGGCACATTGTGAGGTAGCCATAATTGTTTAACACCGCAGGAAATCGGAAATGTACGAATTAGTCTTTATTTTAATCGTGACGTTAATCCGTTTTCTATTTGAATAAATGAGGTTTTGTAGGACTTATTTTTTGGGGTGTCTATATGCTGTGTTGGGGGTAGAGGCTTAGTCTGGAATGTGAGTTGTTATGCGATTCCTCCACTTTGAAATATAGAGTTAATAAAAATTGAATGATCCTTTAGATTCGTTCAATTGGGTAATGCATTACTTCCGTGTCAGTAATCTCGAGTTGTGAATAACAAAAACTTTAAAGGACGCATAATTGAGTGTGCTTTTAAATCTCAAAATTTTAAAAATTAGTTTATCAAAGGAATTTGAGGAGAGTTTATAATATTTCATGCTCTAAATGACTTTTAAGTGCCTATTAGGACTTTCATTTCATCGAAGAACAAGCTTGCAAACGACTTTTAATAGGTACGACCGTAGAATAAGTTTTTAAAAACCAATTAAAATGTTAAATGTTAAAAATTCTTTGATGAAATAGAATTTCAAGCCTATATCTTTCAAATAACAAGTATAGACATCCCACATAATACAAAGTAGTAAAATATATCATATTAATATAAAATTCAGTAAGTATACTTACATGTGCTGCTATATTATAATTTATGTTTAATAATTATTATAAATTTTATTCTACACACATAAAAACAAAAGCTTTCTTGGCAAATAGAAGCATAACGAAGAAGAAATCAGCAACGATTTAACTCATACACAATAAAAAAAAAGGCCTCAATGGCGAAAATTTTCAATTTGTGGTTAAGTTAATTTCTTCTTTTTCCTGCCATGCTTTTGTAACTGACCATTGGCAAACAATTTTTACATGTCACACTTCCATTATGTTGTGAATAAAAAAATTCAATATTTAAGTGAAAATGAAAATGCATAGGCAGGCATACATCAGGCTAAATGTTGCGTGCATAATAAATAAAAGCATTTTTGAGTCGTTTTTTTTTCCTCATTTTTATTATAATTTTTTTATTACAATTCTCATGATATGATGTTTAAAAATATATAACAATAATAAAGTATGTGGAAAGAAACAATAACAACAATAACTTTTATAATCAGTGGGGAGCTATTTAATTTCAATATGAATAAATAAAGGGGGAAATTTTACGTTTAACATGGAATGGTGTTTAAAACCTTCATAAGTTGGCACTAGCATGAAGATGGCATCAAAGTGGTTGGGGTTTTGATTCTTGGGTCACTAATTTATAGAGTCAATAAAATATTGAAAACATACATTAAAGTGGTTTAAATTTTTAGAAATAATTCTCCTAGCTTCAAATGATCTTAGTCAGGAACGTAGCCAGGAATTTGAAGAGGGGGGGGGGGGGGGTCAAAAAAAATTTATATGGAATATTCAGAGGGGGGATTTTTATGATGTCCCCCATTGATGATTTGTCCCCCAAATCCCCCCCCCCCCCGGTTACGTACCTGATCCTAGTCATACCCCTAGCAATCCCCAATCCAATCCAACTCCCATTAATGATCCATCAACCTCCACAGCAATCATCCCAAACATCAAAAGCCACTATGAAAAATAATTGACATCTCAAAAACGCAATGAAATCGTGACAATCCTAACGTATGCACATACATATTCCATGATTTAATTCAATTGTTATTGCGTCTTAGGCATAAATGTAATATTGTAGCTACTATTTAGCCCAAGTATGCAATTACACGATTACTGAGCAAGTATGTCGTAATCAAGGCCGTTTTCAAGGATATACGTGTTAGCCGTATATAACGTAAAATTAATATCAACATTGTAGAAATGAGGATGTGTGGGTGGTTGTGATCATAAGGATGCCGAGAAAATGTTGTTCAAAATAAAATTTAGAAGTTTGGGATGATCTACTCAGATATAAAATCTTGTTGTGCTTGGATTTCACATTTGAAACAATTCTAGTTCCAACATACTGAGTCATAGAAGCTAACTTAATTATAACCACATCTCCATTCTAATGCCAACTTAAATTTAAATCCAAAAGAAGTCCAACACAAAAGAAATAAAAAAAAATGTTTAATTCATTCATTAGCAACTAATTATAATGTTTACAGCTGAAGGTTCCACAATTGAAGTCTCTGCTCACACGCTGACTCATAATTGCCGTTGTCACGATATCAGTTGTGCTTATAATTTAGAAGAATGTACCGTACACATAAACATGGTTATGATGAATGAATTAACACAAGAGATTCATGATGATGATGATGATGATTGACACATTCACAAAATTTATGTTAAAAAAGCCGGTGATAAACGTTTGATATTTTTTTTTATGAAGCATTTGATTCGACTCGCCAGGCAGTGAGGCAAAAATTAAGGTACAAAATTTGTTTTTGTGAAGCCACAGCACAGCCACAGCGCAATTAAAGAAGAAAAAAGTTCCTATTTTGCGTCTTGGATGAATAAAGAGCAAACAATTTGTGAGTCGAGAGGGGAGAACTGAGAGGGAGAGAGAAGAATAGACAAAAGAGAAATCATTATCTGTGATTGTGTGTGCGAAAAAAAACAATCCCCTCTCTGTACGTTCATACATTTTTGCGAAGCATGAAAATATAAAAAGAAAAGAAAAAAAGCATAAAAAGCTCTCACCATTGAAAAGCTTTCAGCAATAAAAATGAGCTTTTTTCTTTCTTCGTCTGCACACATCAAGGACTTAGCTTTTTTTGCAAATGTGTATGTGTGCGAGAGAGAGGAAGAAAAAGAGAGCAGCAATAAGGAAAAAAGCTTTTCATACTTCTCTGGCTTGTCTTTAAGCTTCTTTCTTGGTCGTCTCATAAGTTGATCTTGTTCAGCCATTCCTCGTCCACGTCCACCAGCATTACCGGCACCACTCGGTGCTCGAGGAGCTTTCGGCTTTTCCTTTTTCTTCTTCTTCTTGTCAGTCTCTTTTACGATTTTCTCATTTAGGTTTTGCTTCTTTGGACTCTTTTTTGGACTCTCTTTCACTTGCATTTTCTTTTTCTCACTATTGCCGATGACGTCCCCGTCACTATTACTTAATATCCTATTATTCGTTAAGGCTGTTTGATTTTGCTGTTGCAACTGCAGCTTATTCTTCTTATTATTATCACTAATGCTGTTGTTGATTCTTAAAGCTGTTGCAGTAGTTGTGGTTGATGTGGGCGTGTAAGCAACCGTTAGGTAATTATTATTAATTAGTGTCGTATTATTATTAAGCAAGTCACATTCATCAACAAATGTTATAAAACGCTCTTGTGGATTTACAAAAATATGATTATTATTATTCTCGATATCCTGCACATTCAATCGTGGCGGTTGCTGCTCATCTTGTTGCTGCTGCTGCTCAACATCATTCTGTTCTGTCGGTGACTTTGCCCTTACTGCACTAGATGCCCCCATTCGAATTTTTAATTTTCCTTTGCTTTCTTAAAATTTATTTTCTTCCTCAACTTCCACGTAATGTTTTACCTCAAGTTTTTCTTGTGCTGCTCACTTTCAGTTTTTTACTCCTTTTGTGTGTGTGTGTGTGTCTTGCTTCTTCTTTTACTTCCTACTTTTTTCTTGTTCCTTCAAACATCAATGCAGTACTTTTAACGATTTTTTTAAGCTTTTTTTACAGTCACAGTTTTTTTTTCTTCCTTTCTTTATTTCACATTGAGGTCCTTTTTATCGTCATTGATTGCATTGAAAAGTGTGGCGAAAAAAAAATATTTTTGAGTAACCCAGAGAAAGAGAGATAGAGAGAGACATAGATGGAGCGAATCATTCAGAGAGAGAGAGAAGGGGTGAAAGAAGAAACAAGAAAATGTCACAGGAAGGCCAATGTGATTATTAGACAGTTTCTTTTCTGTGTCTACGTGCTCATACGAAATCTCTCAATTCTTCATCAGCATCATCATGGCAAATTAATTAATTTTAGTTCGCTTCTTATTGCGAGAATTATTGAAGGGAAATTGAAAAAGAAAATAATATTGAACGAAAGAGAAACCCGAGCTGGATATGATGACTTGTGAGGGTTGTAAAAATTAAGTTCTGGAAAGGGGAAGCTTTTGAATTCTGATTTATTGGTCAGTCCTGGGTCAGCCTCAAGAATGAAGGATGTGGAACTGACTAGCCAAATTTTAATCGTTTTAATCGGTTTTGCGCTTTTTGAGGAGTGCTTAGCTATGTTTTTGTGGTACTTTGATCTTTAAGAGAGGACTTAAATCCCTGTTGCACGTCAAAGGTAAATAACCGTTTGACTCGTAGTAGTTAAGTGAACTGCTACACTAGATTGTCACTGAGTTAAGTTCAAGGAACACTTAGTTAAAGTCTTAAAGTTTCCTTAGTAAACAAAAACTAGGGCGACCATCTGCGTAGTTTTTCAACGGACAGTCCTGTATGTTTCAAGACTGTCCTGTTTTTTTCGAAAAAATTTACAAAATGTCCTGTATTTTCATGAAAATTAGATGGTAACCCTAACAAAAACTAGTAAAGATTGTAAAACCTACTAAAGCCTTAATTTTTAACAAGCAATCATCTAATGACATTACAAGACATGTTCAAAGACATAACAAATCAAATCATCACCACTCGGTAAATAGCCAAAATGAATGCCCAAATTTTTTTTTGATGGCAACCATCCAAACAAGCATTAGAAAAGTGACTCTACTCATTGCTAATTCATTAAAATATTTCTTTTGTGATTTTCTTATTATAAAGATAGACGAGTTTTGAGCTCCTTACAGCTATAGCATCTATTTTTATTTATAGTCATTCTCTTGCCTTTCTCTTTTATGTATGAATAATTCAACAACTTTCACTGTCTAAATGTTTATAGAACTTTTATTTTGTGCCATCAAACTTTTACATGTGGATAAATTTTGTTGTTTTTCTCGCTCTTGGTCGATTTTCCACCCTTAGAGCATCATAAATGCGAATCTTGTCTTGTTTTGCTGTTTTCAGCTATATGATAATGATAAAATATTAAGGACATACGGCGAGGCATTTTCTGTGTTTTTCTCGCGAATTTGCAGCTTATTTCTCAGCTGTTAATGAGGATATTTATATTCTTGACTTTTATGCTAGTATAAAGACTTTCCGTTGGTTTATATGCCTTATTATTTGTGACTTTGGAAGTTTGCAATAGAAAGAAAATTTGAAGGGCATTTACTTTATGTGAAAGGTGGTTGATTAAAGTTTTATTAGCAATTTTTTTATGTGCTATTTTTCTATAATTTCAGTTGTTTGGTATTTGACGTATAAATTGTTTTTTCAGAGGTTGAATTAAAGTCTGTTGATTGGTCAATGGCAACTGATTGATTGGATATTAAGGTTCAAAGTAATTTAAATATTTCTATTTTTTTGGACACATTTCCAAATGTATCACTTAAGCAAAGGAATGCAAAATTAGGGACTTGTTTGTTCATAACTGCTGACAACTTGCTGACAACGAAATCGTTGTCAATTTTCTTCTTCATTCCGTTCCATAAAAAACTAGATTTAATTATGCTGAAAGCTTTATTTGCAACATAACTCATAGATTTCTTGAACTGTTAGCAACATATTTTATGGACCATTGAAAATGAAATATTGATTTTTCGTAAATTATTTGAACTACTCTGTTGCTCTGCTGAAAATGGATAGTTTGTATCTATTAAGTATGCTCATAAAGTTTTGATAAAATAAGCTTGTAGAAATCAGGAATTGGAGTGGAAAATTTTGTGGAAATCACAAAATATTTTAGAAAAAGCTTGATGAACTCGATTGGAAGATTGATTGCTTTAAAAAGTCGATATCATTCTTAATTGCTTCTTTGTTCTAAGTGTTAAATAAGACATTAACCAGGAACAGGTTCAATGAAATCCTAGCTTTAATTTCCAACTTGTTTTGAAGAAAACTCAAGATTCAAGCTAGATATCGAGAGATATCTAAGATCTGTGAATTACAGTGAAGCACCAAAAAAATCATTATATGATCCTGCATGATTTAAAATACTTAATTTATACTTGAGACTAGCAAAATAGAACGAATAAATAAAAGAGTCTAAAAACTATAGCTTCAAATCTGAGTCTAATTCAGTTTGTCGTATTGATTCTATTTGTCATCATTGCAGGTACTAAAATAGAAACAAAAAGCACGTTCAGCACACATATTTAGATAATTCATTTTACAAATTAGTAAGGTATCCTCAAAAAAGTCAGAATATCGACACTGCATACTCATACAAAAAGTCAGAACACGATTTTACTCAAATTCTTCTTCATACAATAAACTTGATCCAATAACTCATCACAATCACAATAAAACATTAACAATGTTCATTCCTATATTCATATTAATGCCTATTCTTCTTCATTTTGGTCTTGAAAAAACAAAACAGATTGTTTGAATAAATAAACACGTATTGGCAATATCATTATGTTTATTGCACTTCCGAACGAACTCATTTCATGCTGACTCAAGTTCAAGGACTAACTTTGAAGCTTAAAAAAATCAATTCACTTTAAATCACATTTGCGATAGCATTATGAAGATTATTAGCACTTGTGGGTTTAATTTCACATTAAGGACTGGAAAAAAATCCACTTAGATTATAGTCGTAGAACTTTTCGTACCTAAGTGCTTATTTGCTGATGAATACATTAAGTCAGCAAATTAGAATGCTTAGTTTTTGCTATGAAATTGCTTGATGACCTTAATTATTGATTTTGAAATCTCTTAGGAACTAGAAAAGCTACAGCTGCTTTTATCAAACATTCTGCAACTTCATGCATGTAACAAAACATGGCATTTAAGAATGAAATATTATACAGAAGACATCATCATCATAATATGAAAATAAGACCATAACTTTTGAAATTCATGACTGTCTATGGTACACAAAAATAAATTTGAGTAGTCCGCATTCACATTCTCATACTGTATGTAGATTTAGATTCTGCTTTGCATCTTTATGGTGCTTAAAAAATTTATCTCTGTCCCTTCTAGACTTTATTGCAATTACTGACATTTTTTATTGTGATGGAAAAAAATACTTTCGGGCAAATTGGATGGAAGTTTTTTGCAAGCTATTAAGGATGCTTTGTTATGGTCAAGCTTTAAAATCTTTAATCGATGAGTTTTTGAACTTTTTACAAATTTAAAGGTAAGCAAAACTTTACATTTCACATCACGAACAGCACAACCATCAAACAATCCTGCTCTTAATGAAGAAACTAGCAAAAAAGTTGAATGACTGCCTCAGTCAGATCCACAGCAGATAGCAAAAACTAATTAAGAAGTTAATTCGAATTTAATTTAATTTTTATCCAGTTTGTCGATCAATATGACTTTATCCTTAACGAATCAAGAGCACAAGACAAATCGATACTTTTTCACTTCCACCAGTAGCGTAGCTAGAATTTTTTGAAGAGGATGAAAACCTTTTTCAGGCTAGCACCTAAGCAGTTTAGTTTAGACAATCGTTTACAAATTAAATAAAATTGCCTGACTCAACCCCCCTTCACTTCGGGCTACGTCACTTCCTCTCACTAATTCATAATTCACAAAACTATCATTTTTAATTAAAAACTTTATCACACTTCCTACCTGTAATACTGATGAGATGGCAATGAAAAGTTTGTGATAAGTGTCAGCGCTTCATCAATTAATAATTTTATCATTCCGCAGTGCCTCCAGTTGAGGCGCAAGAAGAAGAGGTGAAAATGTGAATCATTTTTTGCTGTCGCGACATTTTCTAGTTTTTTATGTGAATGAGTAAGTTTCGCTTGTTTAGTGCTGTAGAGCAGTTTTGTAATTTAGTTGGGGTTGTTTTTATGAATGAAAATCGATGAATAGATTGAGTTTTGTAGCATAGCGGAGAACTTAAGTGCCCGAGTGACACATGGCTTTATTTAAGACACATTTAGAAGCAACACGGATCATAAAGGTCTATAACCATCCCCAAGCATAATCTAAAATCAATACCACAATCGATAAAACTAAATTTTCTACAGCACTTCATAAACTTCCTAAAATTTCATACCCTCAAAATTCAAAACTTAATTTATGAAACTTTCATAGCCATATATAAGAAACCACACTTTATAGAACACAATGGCACAAACATTAAGCAAGGGCTTCCATTGTGTTTTCATTTTCTTCAGCTATACTTTAGTCTATGTTGCTACAATAGTCAAAAAGTTCTACATTCTTGGTTTTACGTGCGAATCAACATGAACATCTGAAGAATTTTCGCGTAGATTTCTCTCGAAGGAGCTTTTAAATAAGAATTTTAAAAGCTTTTAGATTCACAGTATCACCTTGACGAGGATGAAAATTTTTTAAGTGTCTATAAAAAGCAGAGGTGGTCAATATTTTTTGGAAAACGACAAAGATTATTTTAATTTGGATTTTTAAAATTTTGAACTTTTTGTATTATTTGAATTTTATGTATCACGGACCATAGTTTGAACACCACTTGTGTAAAACGTGTACACAACGAATGACAAATCAACCTTTTAAAGATTAAAAATTCACAGACGTCAGCAGATTTTGAAATCGTGAGATTCAAAGCACTTAGTAAGTTTTTTGTGGAAAGTCATACTTAAACTTTTAAGGAAGGCATTAAATAAATTATTTTAGATACAGGCTGTCTTCAATTCAATGCA